ATAGAGTGGAGTACATTGAATATTGTGAAAGTTGCAAACAATAGAGCGACTTTTAATCTATTCAAACGCGAAATATTAAAAAAACGAAATATCGCGTTAGCCTTACATTGTGACTTATATATAGATAATACGACTAATATAGGCTCGAAGATTTGTACTTCCAATGCAGAAGGAAAACGAAAGTCCAGAAGGTCTGGGAATTATTCGCATGGAAATAAAGAAATCCGCGGTGTCGCAATATCCTGGGAGAGCAATATTGCATATTATATCTCCTTCAGTAATTCACAAGGTAACAGATATGTTAGGATGTTTTTAGTTAATGCTTTTTAATGGGAAATTATCTATTACTTAAATTTGAATATAAATATTACAATTGTCCTACAGAATCTAAAGTCTCTGGAAAGGAACAAATGGCTCTGTTAAAAGATCTATTTTACGATACAACTTTGTACATGAAATGTTTCGCGACAAAAGATATATACAAACTTCTGTATCAATGTTGTGGAATCACCGCCAAATGTAAATTTCTTGATCCCGTAATTGGGCATTGGTTATATACTAATGATTCCGAAAGAAATTTCAATGAAATGGTAAAATTTCAATTACACCTTATATCGAAATTTAAGGATTAAGCTTAGTAATATGAATATATTATTAAATATATTATTAAATAAATGTCAACTTAAAAAAGATTATTAATGCTGTGTGAATTATTATTGTGTGATGCATATTAAAATTGCAATACATCAAATTTTAAATAGGTACTGCAATACTTTCAACAAGGGAATGTTATAATGAAACGTATAAAATCTTGTTACTATGCCGGTCCCGGGATGGATGCACGAAATTCTTTACCAGGCGAGTTTAGATCAGCAGCAGAAGCTGTGCTTACATGGCATATGATGGATAATATTATGAATAAATTAGAAGAACTTAATCCTGCTCTACTTTATACATTTAGAGGTATAATAGAAATATATATCTCTATACATAAATATATATATTATCTCTTTTATAACATCTATTATAATATCCATTTTCAGAAGTAGAAATGAGAATTATGACAACTTTAGCTTGGATGGAATTATCAGGCATTGGCGTGAATCTAAAATCTTTGCAAGAGTTATCATCGGTTGTGTCAAA